CCTCCTCAAAATGCTTAGTCAGCAGCTCATACGTTCCTGCTCGGAGGACACGTACTCTGGGAAAAACATCACCCACTCATGGAACTTCCTCGTAATCACCGTAACAGAATCGGTACCCTGCTTGAGGGTCAAAAACTCCTAGGCCAAATGCTCCCTTTCCACCCGGGGAATGTACTCATCTTGGAACATAGCAGTGAACCTCTCCCAAGTCACTGCAGCAAGCTCAACAGGAGAAAAATGCACCGTCACAAACTTCCACCAATCCTTCGCTCCCAAGCGAAGCTGGTTCATCGCAAACCGGACTCTCAAATGCTTAGGATATGAGCAAGTAAAGAAACATCCCTCTATGTCTGATATCCACCTTATCACCGCAATCGGGTCCTGGGTCCCATCAAACTCTGGTGGTTTTGTGTTGCTGAACTCCCGGAACAGCAATGTATCAACACCCTGCGGTCTAACCACAGCTACAGCTGCAGTAGCCGCAGCAACAGCAACCTCAAAAAGAGCAGCGTATCTCTCATCGAATGTCTCTATCAGGGTGGTCTTAATAGACCCAAACATCTCTGGAATCTCGTCGCGGAGGGCAACAACCACCTCATCATGAATCATCTGGCGGAGCTCCGTGTCGCTCACACCCCCTCCACTAGTCCCTGTTCTGTGACGTGTCCCTACCATGATGCCTCTCGAAAACACAACACAAGATATCAGTAATTTGCTCGGACGTACACACACTCGATATCCCAACCCTACTTGATCTCTGGTACCCTAAGGATTCTTACTTGGGTTGTGCACTGACCTGGTGCCTTTGATAGTACGGGCCCAATACTACCGACCACACCGACTCAGCATTCACACCAAGTCCTCCTCCTAGAGCCCCAAATCCCAAGTATGTTATTCTCTCTAATCATGTACCACTCACTAGCAATTCTCTCATAAGCTCCTTGCTGCTATCTCAACACTCTCAAGCATTCCTAATGGAAAAATCCCTAGACTAAGGCATCATATATCAGGCCACTGTACTCCTAATAAGAATACCTACTCTTACTCTAACATGCATAATATAATTCATCATATAGCATAGCATAACATTTCTTTTACAACTTATTTTAAAGGTATTTTGGGAAATCATCGTTCGGATGCTGGCTGATCGTGCTCACGGCTCTGCTATGTTTGTTTCAAAACTCTTTTTACTCCTTTTAAAAAAAAGAATTTACTTTATTATCAAATTTTTCCTCAAATCCTCAATTTGAGTTCAGATACGCCCGAAGATGCATCCGAATCCATCAAACCAAGGCTCTAATACCAAATTGTAACACCGTAAAATTTAAAACAAATTTTCACATATTTAGACACATTTTTCCAAACACATTTATCTACAAAATCCCATTATATCATAACTTTGTTTCACACAATATTTCCCAAGATCAAAATACATAAAAATCCATGCATGTGTACGAATCATGCCAGTGCCTTCCCGCGATCATCACTGGTACCTGAAACACATAACACATAACACCGTAAGAATAAAGCTTAGTGAGTTCCCCAAAATACCATACGTAACACATACTAGTCACTTGAGGCTATAACTCTGTGGGCCCGTGGGCCCTAACTCTGTGGACCCTCTATTCCTAACTCTGTGAACCTTTCGGGTCTAACTCTAATATACTCTGATATACACATGATATAAATCACATAGAAATAATGCAGTACAACACATCACATAATAGCATATGATAACTCTATCACATAACTCTAATTATGACTCAAGGTAAAGTATAGTGAGAAGACTCACCTCAGATGTCCCAGTAAATCACTAACTCGGTAGAAATACGATCTAGCCTCCGCCTAAACACATAAAGTAATACTCTCATATATATAACTCTCAGAACTAAACTCAACCCACTCTAGGTACCCTCAGAAGGGTAAAAGACCATTTTACCCCTCCTTTGGCTCAAAGGCCCTCATTCTTGACCAAACCCAAAGTCAACCAAAGTCAACGGTCAAAATTTGACCTGACTCGTCGAGTGCACTTAGGCAACTCGGCGAGTCCACATGTGTCCACTATCTCTTTAGCCTCATTTAACGCATCGAGTCCCTCCTTTTACTCGACGAGTCCCCAGGTATGAATCGTGGGGCCACCCCGATTCAACTCGCCGAGTCTCAAGAACAACTCGGCGAGTACACGCCATGCACAAACTCCATTGACCTCCTGAGGTCAGATCTGTTCCTCTAATCCATAGATCTGGCCTTCCCAAGCATAATAATCACGTAAAGTCCAGACCTTGACACTCATATATCATCTAGATGGTCTCATTTGGTGATTTAGCCCCAAAAATGACATTCTAAGCTCATAACTCCCAAGACAACTCATAAAGTTCCAAGGGTTAAGATCTCTAGACCTCTTTGAGTCCATATCCAAGGCATAAATTCGAGAAGGGACCAATTGCTCCACATAACCATCCTCAAAAGAGGTTAGAAAACCCTAACTCTAAGGATCAATACCAAAATTGAAGAAGGTCCGAATAAATACCTCAAGTTGAAGTCTCTGGACTCTGAAACCACTAGAATGAAACCTCCTTCAGTCTCCTCTTGCTCTTGATCACCTTCTTCTTGCTAAACCAAAGATAGAAAGATCAAATATAGCTTCTCCTTCCTCCCAAATGATTTAGCTCACTTAGGGTTCTCTCAAGGGACATGTAGCCGCAATGGGGGACTATGAGTGCCCTTAAATAGGCTCCAACCCCGGGGGATTAGGGTTTCATTAAACAGTGTGGACTCGCCGAGTCCACTAATGGACTCGCCGAGTCCAGTCGCGAACCCGGATGATAATCCGCGACCCTACTCGGCGAGTCTAAGCATCAACTCGCCGAGTTCCTTCACAAATTCCAAAAATAAAATATTAGAATAATATACCTGGGAATCCGGATGTTAAAGTAGTCAATATAAATATTTACCTTTCTAAAACATCCCAAAAATATGGTCTAATATTTTCGTTTTCAAAATCATTTAAGAAACATAAATATCATCATAGTATCAAATCATAAAACATGTATCTCAAGGTCTCATAAAATTTGTCAACATATCACAATCTCAAATAAATTATCATAGTAAACTACCGGGCTCAAAAAATTGTGGTGTGTGACATGCGATCATCCCGGGCCCTTCCCTTGGCTAGCTGAAGTACCTGAAACCAAAACTGAAAACTGTAAACACGAAGCTTAGTGAGCTCTCCGAAACTACCACATACCATACAAAAGCACATATAATAAATATTGGGCTTTGCCCACTGCATCGGGCCCCGCATGGCATCGGACCAAAGTCTTGAATAACTTGGGACCCACCCGGCATCGGACCGAAGTCCGTAATAACTTGGTCACGCCCACTACATCGGGTCGCACCCAACATCGGACCGAAGTCCGGAATAAATTGAACATAACAAAAACATGAACATATAACATAATCACATATATTGCATCGGGATTGCCTGGCATTGGACCGAAGTCCGGAACATATGACACATAACATAAACATGGAAGAATCACAAAGACATCAAGCATTCATAACTACTTCTCGGGATCACCCCGACATTGGACCGAAGTCCGGAAACATGTAAACTGCATTGAGCTAACCCCGACATCGGGCTTACCTTGGCATACTAAAACTACATAAACGGGCCAGCATTGGTGCCTTAGACCTGTTCCTACTGGAGGAAAAACTCACCTCACACTTCTTAAGTCCTGCTGACAAAACCCTAGCTGCTGGATGACAGATTACCGAATCTGTCAACATCAATATAACAGCCAATTAATAATTAGGTTGCATCACATATACTCATATGTTCATGCTTTGGGTAAAAGACTGATGTACTCTAATCTTAGCTTGATCCAATCCCAAGGCCCAATCCAAAGGCCCAACAGTGAACTCTAAGTCAAAGCCCAACATATGACCTAATTTTCCAAATTGGGCCCAAACCTTTACATGGTTATAATTAAAGGCCCAACTACTTAGTCCAGTCCAAACATTTGGTATTTCTAATGGCCCAATATCATATAACCATGGTCCATGAAGGCCCAAACTATAGCTCGTCTATGGCCCAATTTTCCAAATTAGGCCCATACCCTCATAAGGGCCCTACCCTAAAGCCCATCTAAATAACCTAGTCCAATGATTGATCTTGGATGGTGCATTATTAGCTCAAACACAAAAGCCCAATAGGAAGGCCCAACATAAAGCCAAGTGAAATTAGGGTTTCACATAAGATGACGATTAGGATTAAGTGTTTCTCACTTAACCCATTAAGGACTTCATCCATTAAGTCCTTTACTCTATTAGATAAATGATACGGAATAATTTAGGCTTAATACACAATCCAATCAAAATGGCCCAAAGGTGGGTCCAAATAAATCCAAGGCCTAAATACAAACAATTAGGGTTTTCTAAACCCTAATTAGGGTTTCCACCCAAACATGGCCTAATAGGCCCAAAATTAATCTTTAAACCCATTAGGGTTTTGCTAGGTCCATTAGGGTTTTGCTAGTGGGGCACCACCCACTACCACCTCGGGTAGTTGTGGTCAACGGTAGCACACAGCAACGGCCACCACCTTACGGTGGTGGTTATGGTTCTTTTCATTACATCTTCTACTAATTACAATTACAAGATTTCAATCCACAAATAAACGCATACTAACTACTCAAACACACACATAGCCACTCTAGTGGTGGCCAACGGCGGTAGAAGGCGGCAACCACCACCTCACGGTGGTGGTGGTGGATTTCTTGATCTATCTGGACAACAAACCCAATCATACATCACTGAAATAACACACACACGCCCTAAATGATTACAAAATGACCCTAGCCACCCACCTGTTGGCATATGCCGATGGCAGCCACCACCTCACGGTGGTGGGAGTGGTCAGTCATTAAGTTTCACAGAATCTCCGATAACAGTGGGCCTGTGACGATGCAACAGGAACAAGGGAGGTGGCAGCGGCACCTTCACGGTTTGGTTACATCGTTTACAACCACGCCGTGAAGGCTCACATCATCAAGGAAACAGGCGATGGCCTTGTCGTCATTGAAGGGCAGCAACAGCGTATGTATGGAGGTGGTTAAGGCTTCCATTGGCGATTGGGTTGCTCGTGACTGGATGACGGCTCGGATACTCTGATGGTGGCGGCTGTCAGAAGTGAAGAAGGAGAAAGATGGAGGAGCAACGGTAATGGAGACTGAGGTTTGGTGTCTAACAGCAGCAATCAATCCACCGACAGGCATGCTCTGATTCCGACGTAGGGAGGATGGGCTTCGGCGACAAACTCGTGACCTTGACACGGTGGTGGCGGCACCGAAAAAATAGAAGAATGGAAGGTGGCGGCTGGTTTATGAATTAGGGATAGGGTTAATATGGCATGGGTTATATATGGAGACTGCACACACATGAGGGTGATGGGTTCACCCGTGTTTCACAAACTTCTGGCCACTTTGCCAATATCGGCCCCTCCCCACTAGAGTTTTTCTAATTTAAATCTAAATTTTAACTTTTAGCCCCCAACTTCCTAAAATATTTACAATTTTAATCGAAAATTAACCCTTTTGGCCCTTGATTCCATAATTCCTTCGATATTAAGTCCTAATAATTACCAAGCATACCCCCACTTTTAAAATCATTTCATACTAGATCCAATACTTACCAAACACCTCTTATCTTCTAAAAATCTTAACAAATAAGTCCCAAAACTTCCATTTTGAACTCCGAACTTCTAAATTTTTCCATTTAACTCCTCAAATCTAGCACCATGCTATATAATTATTGATTTTAAGGCTATTATACGATCATTAATTAATTTATTTATTTATTAGATAAACCGGGTGTTACAACTCTCCCCCAGTTAAATTAGATTTCGTCATCGAAATCATTCCATACCATTCCTTACATGCTCAACCATTGTAGTTACATGGTCACCATCTTGGGCACACCCTAGTCTTCCTAGTGTAGCCATGACCAATCTTTGCAAAGCTCTAAAATCCACAGATGAATGAATTCCTTGCAACAGAATCACATCTACTCCATCCGAAATTTGTTGTCTTGAGATGGTCTGAATCCATAACAGACCACTCATACTTAATCATTATAGATGAACCCTACGGCAGGTGACTTAGCATTACTCAACATATCCTCACCGCTGCACCCGAATTGGTGGGTACGACTGTTCCTTCCACATCGTAACAACGTACTCATGCTATCTAACAACCAAGTGAATGCTACGGCTACATTCGCAGTCTGAGAACATGTAACACTACTTAAAATAGGTTAATAACAATCACATGTGATTATGCCAATCAAGTAATGTGATTTTGTTAAACTCGTAAAGTAATTAATGTACTATGTATTTCATGATAAATTCTAATACAAATATGAACTTTATTTATGATACAACTCAAAGTATACATCCATACAATTCCAAAAATATAGAGAATGTCTGAATCTGACTTCGCATGAAGAAGTTATGATAAACTGAACACTATAAATTTCTATAATAAGAGGAATTTAAAATAGGCTTAGAATTTGTTATTGGAGTCTAAAGAAGAGTTGTAGTACTTGTAAATATCTACGCGTGGATATAATAAAATGTCATAAATAGAGTTTGTATGCAAAAGTTACGACCTTATACAACTATTGGAAACCCTAATCTGACTGAGTTCACGGCGTGAGCATAGAAACTCATGACGTGAGGAATCAAATTGCCACATTTCGGATCTAGAAGGTGGGTGTTGAGGCTACAAAAGAATAAGTTCCAAACTCACGACGTGAGCAAGGATATCTCACGATGTGAGGAGTTATCTGGCCACCTTCCGAACCTAGAGACGCAAATGGAAAGTCTACGAGGTGAGCATGCTTGACTCACAATGTGAGTCTTATTAAACTCATGACATGAGAGTCTAAAAACTTACTATAAATAACAGGTTCGACCCCAACCATTTCTTGCATCTGAACTCTTTCCTTCTCTCTTATTTGCTGAATCCCTCGTGCATCCCGAGCCCGACGATCTCAAACCGCTAACCGTTTCTAGTTAATCACGGTACTAGGGTGAGTTTCATGGACCCTCTTTCTAATATATTTTTTTTTGGGGGGGGGGGGGAACGCATGGTAAATATTGTATATACGTTACTATTATGTCTATATGATGGTATATTAGTATCAACGTAGATAGTTATATTAACTGGTATATAGTTGTTCTAAATATAATATTTTGAATATATACAACTATTATCAACTTGTTAGCATGTTATTATACTAATGTAGATCTTGATTTATACTTTGGATTCTATTGTGTGCGATATAGTTCCAAAATTATATTCGGAAGTTCTATATCTTAATTTATAAAGTATGCTGTTATTATTGGTTTTATGTCAAGATAAAACTTGGGATACTATATGTTGTTATTGTTAGTTTTATGACAAGATAAAACTTGGTATGTTATATGTTGTTGGTTTTATGATAAAACCTAGTTTTTCCTCAAGCTATAGTTGTTATACTACCTAAAGTAAAATGAACTTAGGAGTAATGTTTAAAAGTAAAGTCTATTAACTTATGGTTTTAAACACGAAAATGCTTTTGTTGTTAGAGCTATAGGAAGCCGTTGAAGTCTACATGAGTAATTGTATTCATGAACTAAGATTGGGGATCTTAGTGGAAATCCTCTGAACTGTAACCGTTAATCCCGTGTGAGCGAGTAAGTCATGTATAATTTGTATATGGGTTGACAACCCCACTTGTGATTGTTAGCTACAATCAACCATAAGCAAGTGACGAACTACCCTTTTACTTGTGATTGTTCCGGCATCGATGAAGCATACGGTGTTGTTTTTCATGCAAATCATGAGTGTAACGCCCCAGTTTTTTATCGGTACATTTAGTTATTTTAATTTAATTATTATTGTAACATTGGGTTAATTTATTTATCCAAGGTATGATTTCTTATGTTATTGGACTCTTTTGATCATCTTGTAAACTCCTTTTATTGAAGTCCATGGGCTATGGACCTATTTGCAAAGTCCATCTAGTAAATAGTACTTAATGTGTTAACTGAGTCATTTGGAATACACACAAGAAAAACACCCTAAACCCTACTCTCTCTCTCTCTCACACACACTATCCTTCTCTCTCTTTGGGATAAAGAGCAGCCAAGGGGTTCTTGTTTGGAGCTTAATTCTTGTTCGTTTCCAGCCTTGATTCATATTGGTATGAACATGCTTATCATTTCTTACAACTTGATTCATAACCTTGTTCTAGTATTATGATTTCATCTTCACTTCTACTCCTTATTTGATTTGTATCTCTTTTATTATTTTCAAAGAATTTTATGTTATACATCATCTCGAGATCCTATCTTTACCCCACATAAGGTGGATGATGGATCTAGGGGATTACATGTTGCAAAAGCTCATGGAAACCCTAAAAGGGAGAATGGTGATTTTATGTATTTTATGTTCATTTTCAAGTTGATTATTATTACAATCTTGTGGAAAAATTAAATCCTAAAGATAACTAACCCTTTTTAGTACCACCATGATCATGGGGACTAAATTGGGATGATGAAAACATCTTAAAATGTGTTTCAAATGGAGATGGATGGATAAGCCAAAAAGGAATCATGGGTGGCTACGATTCTGTTTTCCATCAGATCTGTAGTCATTTTGTAAAACTCATATCTTGAGCTCTAGAACTCAAACGGGCCCCAAACTAGTGCCCAAAGTTCAAAATTGAGTTGGATAACTTTATTAAGCAGACCAACCTCCCTACTAAGGATTTATCTATGGTCAAGAATTGCATATTTGCTGTTAGGTCTGATTCGGGTCTGTTATGATATGTCATTTTGTTCTCATCATTTCTAAGGCTTGGAAAAGGATCCATAGTGATTCCAAGGTTATATATGTTCCTAATATTATGAACTTAAGATCTGGAGTAGATGGGGTGTTATTTCCAATAATTTTTTGGTTAGAATGGATCCACACTCCAGATCAGTGGGCATTCACCAGATTTTGCTAGTGCTGTGATTGTCCAAAATGTGAATTTTATATCTGGAGTTTGGGAGATGCTTTTCATTGAATTCCAACTCTGAGACTTTCATTTGTATGTCCTTTACTTCTATGAATTTATTTTTGCACGAATTCTACTCACAAGTTGCGTAGAATTGGCCAACATCACTTGACTGTCTTGTTGGAGATAGAAGTGATACACCTTTTTGTACAATTCATATTTAATTCATATTTTGGATTTAGAAGGAGTTTTTTTATATTTATGGAATCCTGAAGAATCATAGTTTCCTATAAAATTTAGTTAAATCTATGTTTGTGTTTTAGATTTTGGAGTAAATCTGTTTTGAACAGCAGGTCTGTTTTAGAGACATTGCTGTGATTACTCTTTTCTCAGCTCATATCTTCATTACTTATCCTTTCTAACCATTAGTCCTTCTTAGGTGACGTTTTGAAGTTTCCTCAAGCTTGGTAGCATTATTTGATTGTTATCTATCCTTACTACTCACTCAATGTGTGTTCTCTCACACCATTGTATTGATGATTGTGTTTGCTAGTTAGCTCGTGTGTGATTATTTCAATTTATTATAAAAGCATGCTATATAACTATTATTTTAATTCGTACATGTGCACTGTATATAACAAATCATGGATATGGGGATACCACCAAAGGATATGGATTTACTGGTGCGGTGGGTAGGTAATATCACCAACGTAATACTCATCGTGAGGTGAGGTGATTACGGCCAAATGATACGGGATCTTCCCGGTGCTGTTCAAACATACAAGTCCTTCTTGTATTATAGGCATTGATTCGTTCTTTGCCCTTATTATACAACTATAATTGGAAAATGGATTAGGCTTAGTATATATGAATGTTAGTACAATGTATGTATTTGAATTCACTAGCTTTGTGCTTACGGTTTCCCTTATAAGTTTTCAGGTATTAAGATTAAAGAGGCTAAGGCTTGACATGGAGCACCGGGACATTGCTACTAGTTATTTTTGTTGGGACCTTATTATTGTTATTTCTTCCGCACTTATTTTGTATGATTGTTAAGTTTGATGGACTGTGTTATGACTTTTACAGTTGTTTGATTTAATTTAAGATGAGTTTTAAAAGTTTTAAAATTTTTGCAAAAAGTTTGGTGTCACAAGTTGTTATCAGAGCCATAGTTTGAGGGACCTAGGCATTCTTGTGGATGTTCTAGACTCAAATTTGAGGCTCTATAAGAGGTTTTTTTCTTTTTAAAAGAATTTTAAAACCTTCCGAAGACTATTAGTGGAAGATGTCGCGGTGTGCCACTGGGCCAGCCAAGTAAGCCTTCTTTCTTATGTTAAATGTTTATGTTAAATTGTTGACTATGAATTGGATTCTACTAGTCTTCAAATGTTATATTACACACTTATTTAGTGTTAACATGTGAGAGAGTTGTAAAATTAATGGCTAGATCGAACTGAAAAATTCAAAAGTAGACGCGAATGCGAAATTGGAACTTGTGTGGAAAGGAGGTAAAAGGGCCCCTACAATTTGAAACATCGGTGCCGGTTTCGGGTCGGGGAAAGGTTGAGAAATTTTCGACAAGCTGAGTGTTTTGTCCTCCTATAAATATCTAGGCTGAATTATTCTTAATATTTTCCTTCTTCTGCGGATACAGATGGCTCCGCCTGCTCGACTTAATCAGCTCCAAATGGAGCAAGTTAGGGATATTGTTGCTGAGGAATTCAATAATGCTTTCAACCAACTAATCCTGGGTGTGACCAATGACATAATCAACCAAGTCGGTGCTCTTCTGGATGAGCACGTCGCGGCTATTCTCGGGGGAGCGATACCGGCTCCACCTGTTCGGGATTTGACATACTACTTCGAGAAGTTCACCAAGTGTAGCCCTCGTCTTTAGAACGGTGAATCTGACCCAATTGTTGTTAAGCATTGGGTGTCAGATGTTGAGGGCGCCTTCATGACTGTTGGGTGTCCGGACTAGTAAAAAGTAGTGATCGCCATAAATCAGCTGCGAAAAGGGGAAGGACATGGTGGAACACCATCACCGCTCTATTAAACGAAGAAGAAGTGAGGGCCATGTCTAGGGCCCAATTTGTGGAGAGGTTCGAGGCACAATATGTGCCTAAGGTGGAGCAACAACGGATGCAGCAAGAGTTCATGGCCTTACAGCAAACTACGGAGTCTGTTAGTAACCTAAA